AAATCTTTTTCTTGCCTCCAGCCTTCAACTGCGGCAGCTCACTTTTGGCTGCTTCTTTCTTGCCCTTCTTGCACTGGCTCGAATCTGCAGCCGTCTCATCACGTTCACCTTGTTCAAGCGGAATTGATTGCCTCTTGCGTTTCTGCACCTTCGCGTACTCCTCGGTCTCCACAGCCGTGCGCTTATATTTCACATCCTCGAAAAGCTGCACCTGTCGAACTGGACAGAAGTAGGTCCGGGTGTTGGCCTTACTAGCGGCCAATTGATCTGGCTTGTTCTTGTACTTCTCCTCCAAATCTATCTCGTCCAGGAAATCGCCGGTGCCCTCGAAGGAGACGGCGCTGCTGGTCTTCTTGCTTTCCGTCACTGTCTCCTGGAGCCTGGTCAGAAGGTCCGGTCCCGCCTGCTCCTTGTACTTCTTGTAAAATTCTTTCTTCTCATTTTCAGTCACCTTCGTCCAATCCTGGGCCAATGAGCCATAGTGGCTCAACACCCGGTCGATCCTACTTTTTAAATTGTGGCATGCCCTGCAGCGCAAAGAAGTAGCTGTCTTCCCCACTGCCCGTGCCACAACCACACCATTCTCCTCAGAGACAGGCTTCCTGCAGGTGGAACACAAATTTTCTGCTGGAAGTCCAGGGCCGGTCTCCACCTTGTCCAGAGGAACTACGCCACTAGGCGTTTCTGCACAAGATGTTGCCGTCTCAGCTGGAGAAGCCGCTTCGGTAGCTTCACTGGCCGCAGATTCGGGGAGAGCTTCTGCAGTGGCAGTAGCAGGCACTTCGCTAGCGGCGCTCATGGCGCAAGTCTCTGCAAGCGAGCCTTGCAAAGATTGAAGGCGAGCCTTTCAAAGATCTGAAGTCAAATCTCGGGTTTGTGGGTATATATGGCTGCTGCGACTACAAAGAACTGACGTGGTCGCATGTTGGTGCATACCTTCTGCAAAACAAGCACAGCACTGTGACCCAAAGAAGCACTCCATAGATTTGGCATGAACTGGTGAGGGGTAGTATGAAGGGTTGGATCTTCCTTAACACAAAGCACATAGGGTTTAAACTGGTTTATATGTTGTACATAGATATAGACATTTGCATGTCTGACAAAATAGTATATATAATTATATTATAATATATATATATATGTTTATTTTAAAAGTTTACATATAGGGTATGTACAAAGTTATATATATACATATATACAGGGGTCGACCAGTGCCATTTACTCGCTCAGCTAAATGCCCTGGCTCAGTTCGTGTGGGCGAGCCTCACACAAGGACAAATTCCGCCATTTCGTTTGCAGAAAGAAATTGGCACCATGTCCTTAGTGCAAACAAAAAGCCTGGCAACGCCAGTGCTTCGAAAAGTATTGCTGTCCCGAACCTGCTGATATAAGTCCCCGTGGATCAAGAACTCAGAGGAGTTCAAAAGCCGAACCTGCAAAAAGAAGGATGCCTGAGCAAGGTGCTTTGTAGCCGGAAACCATAGCATATCTGATGCTGACACCCGTCCACCTTCAAAACGCAGTGTCTTTGAAACATTCGCTTCTTGCATGTCCGGATAGAATGCCCGCAGCCACTCAGCTTCCATGTCCTGCGCCCGTTCCAGGAAAATAGGGCGCAGCATATTTTCATCATTGGAGAAAGAAGAGAAATTTTCTGCAACTGCGCGGTACAAGACTCCTTTCTCAACGTTGGCAGAAATCAAAAGCGCCAGCTGCTTCACTCCCTTGTGCTTCTTCTCAGGGCTGAAGCAGCTGAGATTGCAGCCAAACTCCCTGAACAAGGACGGAACATGTCGTAGCCAGTGTGTTTTCGGCTTGTTGCAATCCGGGTAAAGTTCTAGAAACCAAGCGTGGTGCTGGGCAATTTCGATTTCCAAGTCACCAACAAGAGGCAACGCCTCTTCCTGCATTGACAAAATGTCAATGATTTTCATCATGCTCTCTAAACTTCTGGTTTCCAGCTCCAGGATGCCAGCCGGGCGCACCACCAGCTGGAGTATTAAGCGCCAAATGTCCGTCAACTGGAAAAGCTCATTGGCAAACGCCTTTAAATGGGCACCGTCTTTATCCACCACACGCTTTTGGAAATATTTCTTTGACCAATAAGCACCCTTTGGCCACACAATCTCCGCAGCAAGATCGTCAAGGGCCCGCAAGGACACGCCAGCACTGCAAAGGCGCCTAGCATATTGATTGAACTCATACTGAGCAATCCCACCACAGGCCATCAATATATGCATCCAGTCCCAGTAGGTGTGTGATACAGGGTTGACAATGCCTCCCAAATCTTCACACCACAAGATGCCAAGAGGGTCGAAAACAAGCCCGTAAGATTGCTCCAATCGCTCGAAGTCTTTTTTGCTCAGGTTGCCAGCTTCAAGCTTCAGATTCTGTGCCATAGTCTGGAAACTGTCAGCAGTATGCAAATCAAAGCGGCTTGAATCTGTGCAAGTGTAGTGCACCAAGTAGCCGCGGTCTGGCAGGTCCACCCGGCCCATCACATTCTTGCACAGGTGGCAAGGCTTGTAGGAACTAGCACCTTTCGTGCACCAGAGCTCTTTCATTGCTTTCTCGTCTGAAAGTAGGGCCCCGAAACGCGCTTTCAAAATGAAGTCTCCACCACTTGATTTGCAGCAAATGCCTGTCCTGTCGAAATCCCATGCTAGCAATCCTTTGCCAAAGAATGTTTTCACCATGAAGGCAAACAGGAAAGAATAGCCACCTGCTACGTGCTCCACCAGCGACAGAGGAAAAAGCCCGAAATAAAACCAGCCACAGTGGCGGCTCCGAAACCAGGACGGTAGTTCCATCAATGTCCAGTAGAAGCACGCCAGTGATCGACCATGATCTGGGCGAAGCACATTGCCTGGTGCAGTTTCATCCATGTAAAAAGCGATCCGTACGGACCCAGCCCCCCGCAGCATATCGCCAAAACGTGGTCGGGCTGAAGTATATTGGTGAATGAGAGCAAACGGGTTTATGTATTCCCATTCATATGCCTCGCCGTTGGTGAATTGGATAGGGCACTTTTGGAGAATGTGCCCGTACACGGAATCCTCCAGCAAAGGCCTGATGATACCTTTACGGAGCTGGTTTCTGTCTCCCCCAGATGTTCGTGCCGCCACGCTCAAAGTCACAGTCGGAGGAACAAAGGTGTCAAAATTGGGCCTTTTTCTCTTCATATCAGAAACAAGAGGACAAGCCTTCTTGCCACGGAAGAGGACGAGCCTTCCTCCATTTTTGCACGGAAGAGGACGAGCCTTCCTCCAGCTTCTTCCTGGAAAAGAACCTGCTAAAATGGCTGCGGTCATGCACAAGCACAAATTGCCACAACTTGCCCATGCGCTGTGAAGACAGAACGACGAAATTCAACGGTCAACTTGGGAAAGTTAAGGCTGCCAGTGCCAGCCATTTTCACGCTAGCGCTCATTCTGCTAGTGTCAAGATTCTTTAGTGCACGGGCGAGCCTCGTGCCAAGAGATGGGCGAGCCTCACTTCTTCCTCTGCCAATGCCGCTGATCATGCTGATCCCCATGCCCCGTATCCTCAGACCATCGCTGGCGGTCCTTCCTCTTCTTCTTGCGCTTTTTGGCATGAGACTCCTTTGTGTGTGTCTCTTCAGGCAGGATGGTCCTGTTGCTTTCTTCCAAAGGTGACACGGTGTCACGTCGGTCATAGCTCCTGCTGGGGTCTCGGGTGCGGTCTCTTTCATCTCTTTCATCTTTTCCCGGGCAAGGCTCTGCGCGGGGCTCACGTGCAGGGCGAGCCTCTGCACTCTGGTACACATAGCCGTAGCTGGGTTGCCCTTGGTAGTAGTGCCAGCTTTCCCAGCAGCTCATACGCCACTGCAAACCAGCAATGGTCCCTTCCGCTGTTTTGAGGCGGTTTTGCAGCTCCTCATGTTCGCTTCTCGGAACCCATTTGTCAGCATCCCAAGTGGACCAGGAGTGCCAGGAACCATGCCACTTCTTCTTGCTTTCATTCTTGGCACTGGCAGCAGCAGGATCTGCACGACCCTTATCTTCACCGTTCTCCTCTATGGACTTCACGGCCATGCTATGGGCTTCTTGCAGCCCGTTGGCTGGGCCAGTGACAGTCAGCATCCGGGCGCCCCACTGGTTCCGCTCCCTGACTGCCGCAGAGCAAGACGTGGCAGCTTTGATCTGCTCCCGCTGCTCACTTGTGATCGTTCCCCGGACGGGGATGGGACCAAGGTGTGCATGCAAAGAGCTTGAACTCTGCTGCGCCATGGGTCGGGCGAGCCTCGACCCGATATATGTGCCGGGCTAGCCTCGGCTTGCTTTTGGGCGATCGTCGTTCGTTTTTTCGCTTTGCAAGTGCTTGCTTGAAAAACAGCTGCAGGCAGGACAAGAGCTGAACTGAGATTTCCTGTGTTTGATTGTGTGACTTGGTTGGCTGTTCAAACTTGGAGAAAAAGTTTGATTTTGTGATTTGTTTGGCTTTTCAAATTCGCCAAAAAAATGTTCAGGCGACGGAATTCTGAAACCCACGAGAAAAACGAAGGACTTACAGAACTTAGCTAACCCACTTATAAGCACTTAGCCAGGTGGTCCTCGGGCCATTTACTAAGTGGCCTAAGTCTGAGCTAACCATTTATAGTTTAGCCGTGACTTATAACTCAACATGCTCAGGGTTAGATGCATTATAAATTCATTTGGCGTATATATAATTCCACTTGGTGCACTTATAAGCCAAGTTGTAAGTTGCACAACTTCAAAAAGCACCAAAGCAGAATCTGGTTTTCAGCTAAAAACTCGAGAAATTTTCGATTTTTTTATGATTTTGCTAGAGTTTCTCTAGGAAAATCGTAAAAAAAATCGTAAAAAAATCGTCAATGCATCCAAGGTCCCCAGAATCTGGTTTTCAGCTAAAAACTCGAGAAATTTTCGATTTTTTTTATGATTTTGCTAGAGTTTCCTTTTCCCCAAAGCCTTTTCAGCAGAAAATTTGATTTTGGAAGCAAAATCGTAAAAAAATCGTAAAAAAATCGTAAATGCATCCAAGGTCCCCAGAATCTGGTTTTCAGCTAAAAACTCGAGAAATTTTCGATTTTTTTACGATTATTTTACGATTTTCGTAGAATTTCCTCTTCCCTGAAGTCTTTTCCACCAGAAAAATTGATTTTTACAGAGAAACTCTAGCAAAATCACAAAAAAATCGAAAATTTCTCGAGTTTTTAGCTGAAAACTAGATTCTGGGGACCTTGGAAGCATTTACGATTTTTTTACGATTTTTTTACGATTTTTTTACGATTTTTTTACGATTTTCCTAGAGAAACTCTAGCAAAATCATAAAAAAATCGAAAATTTCTCGAGTTTTTAGCTGAAAACCAGATTCTGGGGACCTTGGATGCATTTACGATTTTTTTACGATTTTTTTACGATTTTTTTACGCTTTTGCTTCCAAAATCAAATTTTCTGCTGAAAAGGCTTTGGGGAAAAGGAAACTCTAGCAAAATCATAAAAAAATCGAAACTTTCTCGAGTTTTTATAGCTGAAAACCAGATTCTGAGGACTAAAAAAACATAAAAAAATCATAAAAAAATCATATCCAAAACCATAAAAAAATCATATCCAAACCATAAAAAAATCATAACCACAATTTGAACCCATAAAAAAATCATAAATGGAAATCGTATTCAAATCATAAATAAATCATAAAAAAAATTATTTGCCAAAAATGGCATCCTAAAGGATTTAAGAAGTCTGAAACCTATTCTCGGCTATCCTCCGCTCGTGTTTTCATCCCAGCTGGAAGTCGGTTTGTTCTGTGGCAAGTCTTTTGTGATATTGTGCGGAATGTTTATATTATCAGCTCTTGCCTGGCTGTAGTGCAACCTTTCATGTGTAAGTTCAAGCATCGTTAAGCCTCGTCTTCGTGTCAGCAGTGCCAATTCAAGCGCTGCACTGTCCAGTGCAGACTCAGAGCTTTGTGATCTTTTTGGCGCGAAGACCGTGAAGACGCATGGCCGCATTGGCGGTGGCCATTGCCCTGTGACGGGCGCGCTGTTCTCCAACTGCAGCTCCAAGCAGTGAGCCCATCTCCAAAAGCTGGCTCTGTTGCGAGGTGTTTGCCGCGTTTGCCGGTTGCGAAAGGCGATTGCGCGTGTTGATTTTTTCTTTTTTTGTCGACAGATTCCTTTGCCGCAGTCATATTCAGACAAATCTCTGCGAGGTGATGTCATTGCTGACCCGAATGCGCGTTGAAAGTTGCTTGTTAACAAAACAGCACACCGTACACCTTGTTGATATTGTAAGTTTGAGGCAGGTCTGGAAATTTCCTCGAAGGTTGCGACGGTCCGACAGGTTGCCTTATCCTGATCTGCCGTGGAATTTGTCTGCAACGCATGTTAAGGCAGTGGCAGTGGCGCCAAGTGGCACCATTTCCAAATCATGTCCCGCCGCGTATAGATCGCTTTGCCGTTCCTCCTCGGTCCTAGCCTCACACGTTATATAAGTTATATAGATACCCACAAGGCTGCAAGACATGTTCCGCCAGTAGAACACGGCGTTTTTTTTTTTCCAGACATAGTGGCGTAATCAGTGCCAACTCTTTTGTAACTTGCTGTGTACTTATGCGACGAACCATGCTACTGTCACTGACATTTTCATCAAGTATTGATGGTCCTGGACAGTCCGAAGCGTAGGGTTTGCATGTCGATGGAACTCCTGAAGGGAGTTGAAGGGACTCAAATTTGATTGGATGCAATCAAGCCTTGCAAAGATGAAATAGAGCAGCAGAACAATAGAAAACTATACAACATGCATAGTCAAAAACACGAACAGTCTCTGGATAAGGGACCGGGTGAATCAGTACATATGCAAAGTAAGAGCATGACGTGTTTAAAGATATCATTCGCATGACGAAGTTCAGAAGCTTGCAGCCAGAGTCAGTTCACAATTTTGGTGCTCAAAATTTCATCAAGTCATATCAAGTCACATAAAAGTGAAATGTGTTCATGACATGGTTGGTACTTATTGGCGTTGACCGAGGCTATTCCACCAGAGTCTTGACTCGCTTTGTGCGACTGCCTATCCCAGGGAGCGAGCAAATCAATGTGCCTTCAACATGATTGAACCATGGGTTGGATGCTAGGCCTGGTCAGGAATCGGGGCAAAAGATAGAAATTGGGACAGGACAAGACCAATCATCAAACACAAACGTGAACAGAGAGAACTCACAGAGAACCGCTAAGCAACTTATGGAGACTCAATAAGGATGATCCGCAGTGGTATTCACATTGGGCATTTTCTTTGCATCGTTGAGACAGTCTTTATCCTGCTCCCCTGAAAGCATTTGTTTTTTTGTTGTGGGCTGGAAACGTCACCAAAAATCACCTCCCGACAGCAAAGCACCATGCCCCTGAAGAACGGACAATCCCCAGAATCGCATCGAAAAAGTGCCTAACGTCAGACCTTCTGAAACCTACAGAAAAGAGCAGGATGGAATATGTACATGCTGCTGCCGCTGCTGCTGCTG